GGAATTGCATTAGATTAGCTCAATCAGGGGCGGATCTAGAAAGTATTCTGACTGTCGCACACAAGGGTGTGGTCGGAAATATCATTCTTGACCACACCCATAGTTTTTAAGGATATTCGCCCCCTTGTCATTTGAGCAGTCGACACGCACATTAAATTGGCTTTATTTAGAAGGCTTTATTGTCAAACTGTTGTTTATTCCTTATCTGAATTTTCAATTGATACTACAGAATCATTTGTGTTGTTTCTTAGCCAAGCGTAAAGCAAGTAACAACTTCAAATTCGAATTGACACGGTTTTCCTTTCATAATCAGGCAAACATTCGAGTCGTCTTTCTCGATTTGTTTATGGTATACGATGACAAACCAGGCCACGCAAAAAATGAAAAATATCATTACAATGAATTTTCATAGCTAACCAAATAGAACAAATGTACACAAATATTCATAAAAACCTGCATTAATAACTAATATTTTTTAATAGCTAAACCAAATCAGCGTGTAAACATGTATTTTACTCCGAAAAAACCCCTTCGAATTCAGGGGAATACCAAAGCAAGTAAACTTTACCCGGAATATCTGAAAGCTGATAAGGAACTGAGAATCCACATTGAAAAGATTCACTTTGAAAGTTTTGTCCAAATAAAAATTTCACTCTGCCAACGTCCTGAATATTATTTATTTGCCAGAGCCAAATCGCAGGTATCACCCCAGTCCAGTGCATTTATTGACATTTGTAGGCCCCTTGATAGATGGAGGAGGTAATGAATGTCGAAACTTGAAAACATCCCGTGTCGAATGTTACTCTGAAAATCTAGCGACCTTTGTTTTCCAAATTACCAGGTTTAACGTACTCGTTATACATGTAGCCAGTCGACTCCATAACACAAAATTCCTATTCGCCAGTGAAAAAATTCCCATGCCAGGCATAAATAAGCTCAAAACTGTACAAAGCACGCAATGAGGACGGATTAATCTTTGCCCAGTGGTGCTAACTTACTAAAAAAACATACTGTTCACCGAAGTTCGCACTATCTAGCAATTTGATTGGTTAAATATTTTAAAACAAAAGCTGTGCGAATTGGTGCGAACGTGCTACTAATCATACTGTGCACCGAAAAACCCTAATCTAACTACATTGGTACCCTGTTGTTTTTTAGTCAGGATGCTTTGAGATTTGAATCAGATTGAATCAAGATCGAGATTGAATTAGAGATGGTGTTTAAGATTTTGCTTGTGTTTATGGCCAGGTTTGAATCATGCATGATTCAGACCTTGGATCTTCCTGCTCCTGCACGGTGTTCAGTTGTCAAATGTAACTGAAGCATAATTCCCAAGCAAATACACTTAAAACACACATGGGAAATTTGCCAGTAAGCAAGAATGTTGTTGTTAAGGAAAAACCTCTTTCGAGACGGATTCTTAGCATAATTTTAAAAGTTTGACTGTCGCATGTGCGAACGGTGCGAACGTCTAGATCCGCCTCTGAGCTCAATAGTTGGATAAATTTGATAAAATTTGACAGTATATATGCAGAATAATAATCATATTGTCATTAACTGTCGGTTTTCTTAGAAATATTTTCTCCAGGTTTCCCGTTGCTTTTTTCAAAGCAATTCATCTATGTTCTGGTAAACTGACACCAATTGATTTAGCATATCAAGAAAGTCTGGTTATTTAGGACATTTTGAGGTAATTAGCCTTGAAGCAAATATGTATTTAATGAAAACATAACATTAATAAGGCACAAAAAGCTAAATGTTTACAATCACATTACCTTGAATCTATGAAAATTTTACCGCTAAAACTAAACAAAAAATACAACTAGTTTCAAATTTGCATTGCACTCATAGCTAACTAGCCAAGAAAAACAAAATATTTTCTATTTTTACAGAAAAGGGCTCTTTACATGATTAAAGTAATTTAAGAATTTCAATGAATGTTATTTTGATTTGCTTTTGACAACCTTTTACCCATTTAATAATTGAATAGACATATTTTTGCTTTGAAGCTATGTTTGATTTCGGTTTTTCTAATCAGTAAATTCTACATTCTTATTTGAATCAAAAAATTTCAGTCTGTTTTGCATGGTTACTGCATCATTAGCAACAAATCTATTTAAACATTCGATTTTTGGGAACATTTAGTCATTTTTCAGAACTTAGTGAACTGGACAGGAATATTTTCTAAATCAGACCATGAACAACACAAATTCCTATATAATAAACAATTACACATGTGCCATTCTCAGTATGGCTCTGGCAATACCAACCAACTTGCTGAACCTCGCTCTTATCATCGCCATACTTAAGACAAATGCACGAAAAGAGCCGTCTCAAATGTTGGTACTAAATTTGGCATTCATAGACTTTGGTGCTGGTATTTTTGGCATTTTATTTTTTGCATTTTACTTTATAAAACTAAGCAATCACCCAGATTTCTTTTACCTTTTTTACTTTATTATTTTTCTGACAAGAGTTATGATATTCGCGTCGCTGCTTTCGGTAACATTAATCGCAGTCGAGAGATACATCTACGTCTTCAAGCCGTTTGTGCATAACACAAGACTGACATCGCAATCAACTGCTGTTACCTTATGTTGTTTATGGATCGTGTCCATTGCTGTAGCAGCTATCTTTTCGTTTGCTGAAAATACTATTGCATCAAATGCAATTGCGTCAATTTTATTTTTTTCTGTATCAGGTATAATTATCTATAGTTATACTAAGATTTTGTTACGATCCCGGAGCGTTCGTCGGCAAATACAAACAGAAGCAGCGAGATTCGAGCAGCAAAGAGTTACTGAAAAGGAGAGAAGCCTTCTTCTTGTCGGTGGATTCATTATCATTTCATTCTTCGTCTGTTACTCGCTTCCTTTTTCACGACCCATTATCCAATTGTTTGGAGTTAAAGATCGTGGTTCTTGGTATCTTATCTGTTGGGAATGGGCCACTGCCATGGCAAATTCTCTCTTTAATCCCTTGATAACCTGCATTTTTAACCCTCACATGCGAAGAGAGGTTTTCAAAATACTGACATGTCGATGCAAGCGTGGGAGATGAGACTCCTGGAGCAAGTTTAATTATCGTTTTATTAAGGTTATCGTTCTTATGCACAAAATGAGGGTGGTCCTCTCGTATTAACTGGACCATTTATTTTTTGGGGTGTAGGTGTGCCAATAGTAAAGACGGTCACAGATAAAACCCAAACCAGTTTTGAGGGGCGTGAGAAGAGAACAGAATGGCCTTTAGCCACCGACTAGCAACACCTTGTTTGTGCAAAAGTGGAAAGCCATTTGGCCATCAAAAAATGCACGAAGAGAATAAAATACGGTGATAACGTGCCAACAAAAACATGGGAATACCAAGACATGCGTTGGCTGGGTAGGGTTGCGAAACCATCGCTCTCCACAGTCCAACTTCAGGGTGTCTGGCAATGTTTGAGGAAGAATCTATACTGTAGTCTACTATAATGTAGACTCGCATCCTATCGAACAGTCACGCTTTTTCGTCGCGATGTAAAAAGACAAATTATAAGCTGGGTTACTCAATGAATATAATTGCTACATCTTGAAGTATGGGTTAAATATGGCAAGAGATGTCCGAACGAATTTTTGGAAGTTAAGGTAATGATTTTCCTACTTTTTTTTGCTATGGTAAAAACGCGTGCTGGTTCATCGGCAGGGCCTAATGAAAATATGGTGGTATCCGAAGAATTAAAATCTTACTTAAACGAGCAGTTCCATAATCTTGCCGACAAAAAAGACATAACTGAAATGAAACAAGAAATAATGGCTTTAGTCACCAGCATGATGGAGAAAATAACAAGCTTGGAGACAAACATCAATGTTTTGGAATCCAAAAACGCCATTTTGGAAAGTCATATTGCTCACTTGAAATCAAACCAAGAAAGCCATGAACAGTACTCTCGCAGATTATGCTTAAGGATTGACGGCATTGGATTCCCTGAAGATAGTAATCAGGAGACAAGTGAAAATGTTTTGCAAAAAGTTAAACACGTTTTTACAGAAATTGGAGTTGACGTACCAGACACGGTAATTGACCGCGCCCATCGGATTGGTCCAAAATCATCAAGAGATGGGAAAGCAAAACAGCAAGTCATTGTTAGATTAACAACATGGCGACATAGAACTGCCGTTTATCGTGCACGAAAGAAGTCCAGTAAAGTCAAGATTCGTTTAGATTTGACGAAGCCAAGGCTTAACCTAATCAACGCAGCTAACGACCTACTCAAGGAGTACAGCGACTCATTTGCATTCGCGGATGTAAATTGCCGGTCCCGTGTTAAGTTTAAAGGCAAATTCTCCTTCTTCGAAAGCATCGATGATGTTAAGGCTTTAACCCTTGGAAATACTTGAAGACTGCAACCATGACTCGCCTCCGTTGAGTCAATGAATGAACGATCCCTGGCTTCTTTAGTTGTGTTTTATAATAGTAACGGATTTTCGGCTATGAAATTAAGCTAAAATTTCTATCCAGCTTCTAAAAACTTCTAGTCAACATCAGTGTTCTCTTCACTTTGCATTTTTGGCCCTCTCTGTCCCATTGGATTATCTAGGGTAACATTATCACAGTTTTATCGTTTGCCTTTTTCAAACTATGTTGTACAAAAAGATCTGTGTAATTCCCAGCTCACTGCGATTCATTTCCCTCGTGATACTAAATGCTAGTTGTGTTCGCTAATACTTTTGAGTTTGTATCTTTTGCCTTTTGTGTTAATTTGTTTTGTCCGTTAACTTCTGTAGGCATTTTTAATGGTTGTTACATTGTGAATTATTGCCCTTTAGGACCAGCGAGAGGATTTCTGCATGACGATGCCGGTTGAATTGAACCAATGGCGAGCAACAATAGGGTGTTTCCATGTGTCCCATTCAAATATCATCCCCACTGGGCAAAATCCACAGGCCGACGTCAGTTCTTGTCCAAGTCGTTCTGTTATTTTGTTTTTGTTATGGCTTCATTGCGATTTCGATCCTCGCTCTTCCCCTTGCGCTGTTGATACAATTTTTTGCATTGCACTCCGTGGCAACGGAATTATGTTGCTTCCTCCTTTTTGCTCGCATGCATCAATTTGCAAGGATGATATTTTATGTGACTATTGAACTTCTCAAGCGTATCCCGCGTGCTGCCATTACCCTTGTTCGACATAAATATTTTGCTCTCGAGCAATTTCATTCCCGATATGCCTATTTTAACCTTGCTTGCATAATCTATCTCATTCTTCACAGACAGTGGTTGGTTTTTAGGAGCATTCTGCTCAGTGGTGATGTTGAAATGAATCCTGGTCCAGAAACTTTTGATTTTTGCTGTTGGAACCTGAACAGTATTGCAGCGTATGACTTTTTAAGAGCATCACTCATTGAAGCATATAACTCGGTTTTCAACTACGATTTAATTGCCATTGTAGAAACTCATCTTGATAGTACCGTTAATGAAGATGGCCTCGCACTTGGTGGCTATTCATTCATTAAAGCAAACCATCCACAAAATGTGAAAAGAGGTGGTGTTGGGCTTTACGTAAAAGATTCTCTCCCCTCAATAAATCGTTCTGACTTAGTGACCCTAACCGAATGCATTGTTTATGAGATCCGTATAAATAGGAAAAAGTACTTTTTCGCCGTTGTTTATAAAAGTCCAAGCCAGAATCAGACTGAATTTGATAGCTTCATGATGAATTTCGAGCTTATGTTATCCAAAATGCATGCTGAAAATCCATTTTGTGTCATTATTACGGGTGACTTTAACTGTCGATCAACTCAATGGTGGGAAAATGATATAGAGAATAATGAGGGAAAGTTGTTCGAGCCACTAACATCTGATCTAGGCTTACATCAATTAATTTCAGAACCAACACATCTGATGGGTGATTCCAAATCCTGTATTGATTTGATTTTCACTGACCAGCCTAACCTCTTTATTGAGTCTGGTGTCCATCCTTCTTTGCATGACCATTGCCATCACCAAATAATCTATGGACAACTATCTGTTTCAAATGCAAAACTACCCCCCTACAAACGCAGGATTTGGTACTATGACAAAGCAAATTTCACTGCCATTAGGAGAAGCATTGAAATGTTTCACTGGCGAGAGCACCTTGGCAACTTGACATGTCCTAAGAGGCAAGTGGAATTACTTAATGAAGTTCTGCTAAACATTTACTCAAATTATATACCCAACAAAGTTAAAACAATTAGACCCCATCAAGCACCTTGGATAACATTTAAGGTCAAAACCTTCCTAAGGAAAAAGAATCGTGCCTATAGAAAATTCATAAAGAACGGTCAAACAATTGACAGGCCAGAAGGAATGCAACAAATGATATCCGAAGGTTCAAAGTTGATTGAGGATGCCAAACGCAATTTCTTCCTTAGAGCAGGAAACACCTTAGCCAACCCTGGGACTTCTAGTAAAACAAATTGGTCTTTAATTAACACTGTCCTAAACAAAGCTAAGATTCCAATAATACCACCTCTTTTAGAAAATGGTTTTTTTATAACGGATTTCACTGAAAGGCACAGATATTCAATGATTATTTCCTTCTCCAGTGTACGACGATTGCTACAGATAGCGTAATTCCACTAAATGTTCCAACTCCTTCTTCTTTCATAAGCAAGTCTGAGGAAAAGATTCTTAACATTATAAGGTCTCTAAATCCCAATAAAGCTCATGGTTGGGATGAAATATCAGTCAGAATGGTAAAGTTAAGCGATGCTGCACTAGTTACTCCTCTAAAAAATTATATTCCAAAACTGCTTGAGGCGGGGTTTATTTCCCGAAACATGGAAATATGCAAATGTAGTGCCAGTTCACAAGAAAAACGAGAAAAATCTTAAAGGAAATTATCGACCAATCTCTCTCCTTCCCATTTTTGGAAAAATTCTTGAAAAACTCATGTACGATCCTTTATATTCTCACCTGGTGTCATGCAAGTTACTCAATCCGAATCAATCAGGTTTTCGTCCCGGTGACTCAACGATTAACCAACTAATCTCAATCACCCATACTATCTTTAAAGCCTTTGATTGTAATCCTCCACTTGATGTTCGCTCTGTGTTTCTCGATATCTCTAAGGCATTCGATAGGGTATGGCATGACGGCCTTATTTATAAGCTAAAACGTTGTGGCGTCACTGGACAATTCCTTTTGCTTATTGAAAGTTTTTTGAAGAATAGAAAACAACGAACTGTCCTAAATGGACAGAATTCTCTCTGGGGAGATGTTTCGGCGGGAGTACCCCAGGGTTCTATACTGGGACCCCTGTTCTCCCTTGTTTATATCAATGATCTAGCTGCTGGTGTGAAGTGTAATATCAAGCTTTTTGCTGATGATACATCGTTGTTCACCGTTGTGGAAGATCCAAACTCAGCTGCCAATGACATGAACCATGATCTTGAATTGATAAGTCAATGGGCCTATGATTGAAAAATGTCCTTCAACCCCGATCCACACAAACAAGCTGTTGAATTAACTTTTTCGACGAAACGAATTGAAATCAACCATCCAGAGATTCGTTTTAACAACATACCAGTGAGAAAAGTTGATGTACATAAACATCTAGGTATTTTTCTGGATTCAAAGCTTTCTTTCTCGGCTCATATCAAAGCAGCGATCTCTAAAGCAAGAAAGGGTATCGGTCTTCTGAAACATCTCTCCAAATTCCTTCCCAGACATACCCTAAACGAACTATTCAAACTCTATGTGCGACCTTACCTTGAATACGGAGATGTGATCTATCATATTCCAGCCAAAGCATGTGAATCCAGCGGTAATGTTATTTTGTCAAGTTTGATGGAAAAGCTTGAGTTCGTTCAGTACTCAGCTGCTCTAGCCATCACAGGAGCATGGAGGGGGACATCGCGAACGAAGATATTCGCCGAGCTTGGTTGGGAATCGTTAAGTTCCCGACGCCGGAGTAGACGCCTTACGTTGTTTTACAAAATGATGAATAATCAAACACCTGCATATCTAATGGATCCAATTCCAATACTTCAACAGTCGCATTACCCACTTCGCAATCGTGATGTCATTGGACGAATAAGGGCAAGAACAGAAAATTTCAAGTCTAGTTTCTATCCCGATTGCCTGGCTGAGTGGAATGAACTAGATCAGGGGATTAGATTTGCACCATCGGCTACTTCCCTTAAAAAAAAGTTGATCTCCAAAATCCGTCCTTCTGCTAGCTCTGTTTTTGGGATTCATGACCCAATAGGTTTATCCTATCTCACTCAAATTAGAGTGGGTCTTAGCAAATTAAGCTTTCATAAATTCAAGCACAATTTTAGGGATTCCATAAACCCAATTTGCCCTAACAACGATGGTATCGAGACTACGTAACACTTTTTGTTGCTCTGCCCCGCCTTTGAAATTGAACGACGAAATCTTCTCGCTAGAGTCTCTGAATTAGTACAATCATTAGGATATAACGATCTTTCAGATGAGGTTTTGATAGAACTTTTATTTTATGGCTATAAAGACCTTCCAAACAACCTCAACAGAAATATAATCGAATTAACTCTCCAATATATTCACACAACTGGTAGATTCGAATAAGGTCACTGTTACCTTGCCACCAAGTCTCTTTTCATATAGTTTTGTATGCCTACTTATGTAGTATTTCCCGTTTATGTATATGTTGTATTTTATTATGTATGTATTATTATAATCTAGTTTATATATATGTAGTATTATTAGTTATATTTATCTACATGTCATATCCCGGGGGCAGTCATGTTATATTGCTCCTTCTGGGTTCTGTCCTTGTAATGTAGTTTAGTAGTTTGTACGTACTGTTTTAGGTAATTTGTTGTGTAAGTTTTTATACCGAATATATATATATAAAAAAAAATAAAGTTTATATTCTCAAGGCCAATGCACACTTCTACACTTGTTGCTTTTGACTTATAAAAGACACAATGCATTGCTTACTCTAGCATGGCTACAATGAGTACAAACTCCACAATCGTGCAATCTGTGCCAAATGAATTAGCTTAAGAGGCAGTGACCAAATACATTTATGGACAACATTAAATCTGACTGTCCTATTTAAAAATGACTGGTCTTTTGGGACTATAAACTCTCCAGTTGCTAATTCTAAAGATTTTTAGAAGTATCTTAAGATGAACGCTGAAGAATAACAAGACAAATTTGCGTTGCTATCTTGTTCATTGGTATCAACCATCGTGTTTCCATCTTACGATGTATCTAAATTCACAATTAACGCGCTCTCTTTTAAATCTACAGTCCCTGGTTCTGAGTAACGCTACAAAAATTCTCCAATTTTAACTACCAATAAGAAGCAAGAATAACATGTGCAGTTTTACGTCAACTGAAGCTAATTAACAGCAATTTTTATGTAGAAATAACGCTGCATGCCTATAACACGCTGAACGCTTATAACTAAATTTACCTAAACATGTATCTGTAGCCAAGTTATGGAGTAAACAAGCAATGTTAAAGGTTCTACCGCGATCCTAACGAGTTCACCATGCGATCCATCTAAGTGAACCGCAGGAAAAACAACTAATCACTTCGCAATTCTGTATTTATAGCAAATAATTTACCAACTACGTGTAGCAATTATGGTTAGCAGAAAAAATGCCCGAAAGCAATGGAAAAGTTCCGACAGGTCCTTCCATTGAACTTTTATGCCTTAAAAAAATATTTTACTCTATACAATGTGATTAGGATTTTGTGCTTTGATTTTAGTTTACTGTATTTTACTTTGCGAACCAGGCTGTAAACAAGTTTTTAATTTAGCCATTTTATTTACGCTAAATAATTTTATACATATATACATACTTTCGATAGTTTGGTAGGCAGATAAACTTAGCTGCGAACCATTAGGAGACTTTCCCAATTAAAGTAAAAGACCTTAGGTAGTGATGAGGTTGGCGATAAAAATGTTTTTGTTAACCTTGAAGTTGAAAATTACGAAATTGTTTCCATTGAAATCAACGGGCAAATCATACCATGGAAATGGAATTGTTTTATCTGAAAATCCCTCGATATCCTTTTGCTTTGGTGGAAATCTTGTGCGAAATTTGCGAGAGTAGATTGTCACTTAATCAGATTAACGCATACACCAAATGGTGATTTGTCCTACCTACAGTCTCAAAGCAGTTTTTCCGATTCCTTTCCCCGATTCCCCATTCCCTGTTTTTTTTATAGCTGTCCAAATTTCTCGAAATTGTCCGAAATTTCAATTTTAACGATGCAGGCTGCAAACAGCAAGCAAACAAGGAAGCAAACAAGCTAGCAAGCAGAAAAGATCAAGCAAGGACATATGAAACCAAGCAAGCTAGCAACCACGCAAACAGGCTTGCAAGTATACAAGCTAGCAAGCAAGCAGCAAGCAAGCAACCAAGCAAGCAACTAAGCAAGCAAGGAAGCTAGCAAGCAGAAAGAATCAAGCAAGGACATATGCAACCAAGCAAGCTAGCAACCACGCAAACAGGCTTGCAAGTATACAAGCTAGCAAGCAAGCAGCAAGCAAGCAACCAAGCAAGCAACTAAGCAAGCAAGGAAGCTAGCAAGCAGAAAGAATCAAGCAAGGATATATGCATCTAAGCAAACTAGTAAGCAAGCATACAATCCAGCAAGCAAGCAAGCTAGCAACCAAGCGAACAGGCTTGTAAGTAATCAAGCAAGCAACCAATTTAAGCAACCAACCAAGCAACCAAGCAAGCAAACTAGCAAGGAAGCAAACAGGCTTGCAAGTATGCAAGCTAGCAAGCAAACAGCAAGCAAGCAACCAAGCAAGCAACTAAGCAAGCAAGGAAGCTAGCAAGCAGAAAGAATCAAGCAAGGACATATGCAACCAAGCAAGCTAGCAACCACGCAAACAGGCTTGCAAGTATGCAAGCTAGCAAGCAAGCAACAAGCAAGCAACAAGCAAGCAACCAAGCAAGCAACCAAGCAAGCTAGCAAGCAGAAAGAATCAAGCAAACAGGCTTGTAAGTAAGCAAGCAAGCAACCAATTTAAGCAACCAACCAAGCAACCAAGCAAGCAATCATGCAGCAAGCAAACTAGCAAGGAAGCTATAGATCAAATTAGCAAGTAAATTATATGGCAATGATGCAGTTATAAGTGAGGAAAGCAAAGTATGGCTTACGCGTATACACACTTTTTGATATAAGAATATATTCGATAAAAATATTGAGGCTCAAAATCGCTAAAATTTAAGAAAAAGTTAAGAATAATGCAAGGCACAAACTTCAAATGAACTTGAATTTTTAATTTATTCACGTTTTCTCACAATGCAAAACAACTGTCACATTTTCGCTAAATTTATGTTTTGAAATACACTTATCCGCTCTGTGAGTAGTTAACTCTGTAATGTGGCTCAGTGACTAGATTTTGTATGTTAATAGCACAATTATTGTTTAAGCTTATGATAAAAGTGAAAAAAAGATTTGAATTTTTTTGTTGATCTTAAGGCAAATTTACAGCTTGTGTCGGACAAGAATAATTTGCGAGTAATCTTAGGCTCAAAATTGAAATTTTGTTAAGAACATTGAGGCTCGAGAAAAAATTATTCTTATAAAAAAAAGTGAGGTGTGTATTCTTAACCAAA